CGAGGCTGGGATCTGGGGTTTTTATGGACTGAGAAGGGGAAGGAATGCGCTTAGCCTGCGGGCTGTCCTGGAGAAAGTGTGATTCAGCTTGGTCTTTCAGCTTGACCGGGGACCAATCAGGAGCTGAAGTGATGATTCATAACGGCTATTCAGCTTGGCCTGGGACCAATCAGGAGCTGAAGCGATGATTTATAGAGCCTGGGCTTTTCCTTTTCCACAAAGGAAAGTGCCAACCTGAACCTACTGAAACCCACTATGTTCATGCCCATAAAAGAAGAAACTTTTTCCTGGGAGCCTGCTGATTATACAAAGGACAAAGGCATTTCTGTGTCAGGTCTTGTTCCCTTAACTGAGTGAGCCAGAGGTTTGTGCGAGTTTTTACCTGAGTGAGCTGGAGGTTCTTCTATCTGTGCAGCCATGGGCATGTCTCCAGGCACAATCCCCTGTGCTAGTTCCCTTATCCGTGCCTGTAGCTTGATTTTCTTCCCCAGGCTGCTTTTTATGTTATGTGGGGATGAGGCACTGACCCATGCGGTGGGGGCTCTCCAGGGACCCTTCCCTTGCTGTCTACTAACTCCTCTTAAATGGATTTTGAATTTTCCAACACAAAGAAATGGTAAATATTTGAGGTGATAGATACACCAATTACACTGATTTGATCACTATAAATTATATGCACACATTAAAACCACATTGTACCCCATAAATATGAATAATTATGTGTCATTTAGAAATAACGATAAAAGTATATCTAGATTCAAGCGCCTCTTGTAGCGTTTCCCACAATCCTCACATTTGGATGGGTTTTCCCCACTGTAGTCTCTCAGTTGGTCTTTACGGTATGTCCTGTGTACAAGCCTCTTTCCACAGTCCTCACATTTGAAGGGTTTTTTCCGGCAGTGGAGTCTCTTATGATTCAAAATACTTGAGGCCCGGCTAAAGCTCTTCCCACATTCCTTACAATTATAAGGTCTCTCTCCCGTGTGGACCCTCTGGTGCAAGTCAAGATTAAACTTAGTAACGTAGCCCTTCCCACATTCCTCACATTTATATGGTTTTTCACCATTGTGGGATCTCTGATGGGAAGACAGTTGTGAATTTGTATAAAATCCCTTCCCACATTCTTCACATTTGAAGCTTTTTTCTCCACTGTGGACTCGCTGATGGTTCAAAAGGCATGAGGACCATCTGAAGCTCTTCCCACATTCTTTACAATTATATGGTTTCTCTCCTGTGTGGACCACCTGATGCTTATAAAAATCTAGCCTACCAATGAAGCCTTTTCCACACTGCTCACATCTGTACGGTTTCTCTCCTGTGTGGACCATGCAATGCCTATTAAGTGCTGATCTCTGATGAAAGCTCTTATCACATGTATCACACCTAAATGGTTTTTCTCCTGTGTGAACCATGAAATGGCTCTTAAGTCTTGACCTAAAATGGAAGCTCTTACCACATATGTCACATTTGAATGGCTTCTCCCCAGTATGGATTCTCTTATGTTCCTTAAGCTGGGAATCATGAATGAAGGCCTTCCCACATGCCTCACAAATGTAAGGTTTCTCTCCTGTGTGTAATTTTTGATGAACATTCAGTGCTGATCTACGACTGAAACCTTTCCCACACTGCTCACATTTGAATGGTTTCTCTCCAGTGTGGACTCTCTGATGAGTCTGCAGATGTGAGCTTTGACTAAATTCCTTGCCACACACATCGCACGTAAAGAGTTTGTCTCCCATGTGGACCCTCTGATGAACATGAAGAGCTGAGATGTAACAGATGCTTTTTCCACACTCATCACATGTATGAGACTTCTCTCCTGAGTATAACTGCTGAGGAAGATCAAAGATGGAAACATCACTGAAGGACTGTTTACACTTCCCACCCTGGGAAGGTTTCTGTCCTATGTGAATTGTGGGCAGTCCCACTTCAACCTGGGAGGGGACATCACCATTTTCAAAGAACTGAGAATTATTTATGATAGAGTCCTGAGACCTGGTTAAATCTTTTGCAATTTGTTCCCAGATTTGCTGGCAGGACCACTCTTCCTGTGTTCCTGCTTCTGGAACAGACTCCAACTCAGTTTGGATCTTGCCTCCTATAAGGACACAGATTTAAGAGATGTGTACACATAAAGCCTTTATTCAGTGCTCTCAAGGTTTCACACTTAGGACATGACATTAAACTTCAATGAATACAGAGAACGTTCAGTTTGTGTTTTCCAAGTACACCCTGATTTCTGGTTTGCGTGAGGCCAATTCAGAACCACATCATGTCTCACATGTAAAATCCTTGATAGAAACAACAGACTTAATTTTAAAATATGATATACATTTAACTTGTTACTATTTCTAATGAATTTCCTAGTCCAGTCTTGTGTGATAAATTATGAAAATAAAAATTTATGTACATAATGAAATATGAATCAAAAGGAACTTTAAGGAAAAGCAATAACATAATCAATACTTTGTATATTTGTGTTTATGCTGTATATCCTTATAAAGAAGTTAACCTAGGTCAGGTGCGGTGGCTCAAACCTGTCATCCCAGCACTTTGGGATTGATCATTTGAGTCCAGGAGTTTGAGACCAGCCTGGGCAATATAGTGAAACCCTGTCTCTACTAAAACTACAAAAATGAGCCAGGAGTGGTGGCATACTCTGTAGTCCCAGCTACTTGGGAGGCTGAGGTGGAAAGATTGCTTGAGCCTGGGAGGTGGAAGTTGCAGTGAGCCCTGGGTGACAGAACAAGACCCTGTCTCAAAAAAAAAAATGCTGGGTACAGTGGCTCACACCTGTAATCCCAGCACTTTGGGAGGCTGAAGTGGGCAGATCACTTGAGGTCAGGAGTTCAAGACCAGCCTGGCCTTGAAACCCTGTCTCTGCTAAAAATACAAAAATTAGCCAGGCGTGGTGGCACATGACTGTAGTCCCAGCTACTCAGGAGGCTGAGGCAGGAGAATTGCTTAAACCTGGAAGGCAGAGGTTGCAGTGAGCTGAGATTGAGATCGTACCACTGCACTCCAACCTGGGAGACAGAGTGAGACTCTGCCCAAAAAAAAAAAAAAAAAAAAGTTAACCTAACCAAAAAGAAGTTGGGACTTCGTCCTCAGCATCTGAGAGGTAATCTCTAGGATCCTGAAGTGTCATACCTCAGGAGAGTGTCTTGGTTGGCTTGAGGGCAAACACTGGATCACTCTGCATAGTGAAACAATATAATTTACGGTTATAGCTGGCAAATCCTTTGGAGGCTTGGGGGTGGGAGATGCTCCTCTCCATGTCAGAAATAACAGCAATGTGATTTAAGGTGGAGCTTTAGGTCACAGAGAGTTAGCAGACCAGGAGACTGATTAACCACCTAGGAATCAATCAACCAATAATGGCTCCATAATGGAGACCCAATAATTACTCTGGATCCCAGCACTCAGGTGAGTTTCTGTGACTGACAGTACTTTGAGTCTAAGTCATACCTTAATACTGGGAATGTGATACATCCTACTCTGCCAAGAGAATACAATAGAAGGTCCACATTTGGTTCTTCTCATCTGGACCCTGTCTTATTTGGTTTTTCTCTAAGTATAATATACATCTTTTCCCTGTAAAAATCAGTCAGTGAGAATAAAAGTATTCAGTGAGTTCTGAGAGTTTAGAAAATTATTGAATGTGAAGGTAGTTTTGAAAACCTCCCGAATTTGCAGTTGGTGTGAAGTTAGAGCAGTTCTCTGTAAAACGTCTCAGTAAATTTTGTAGTTGGTTGAACTCTTCACAATGTTAAACATCAAACACCTTGTAGTGTTTCTATGTACGCATTCAAAATAGTATCCCTGCACAAGAATTTTGCACAGCATATGTAAAATGCTTAATCTTACTTTTCTGTATTGATAGGGACAATAACTTGGTTATCTCAAAGAGTACAGGGACAGACAACTGCAGTTCTGAGGGGAATCTGAAAGGCTGTCCTTCCAGGGGTCCACAAAGGAGATGTTCCTGACCAGACAATCAAAAACGTGAAGAATCACATGGAATGAAAAGAAAGCCTATGATGCAGATAAATAGGACTTTATAACTTTTTATATTGAAGACTACACATTAGTGAGCTATGAAATACAGTTAAACTCTGCAATAAACATTTACAAAAAAGAACTGGAATGTAAATTATCACAGCATCATGACAAGCAGGAAAGTGATCATTCCATGAAATGCCTCCTAGAGTCACTTGTACACATCTACAGGCATGAAAAATGTTTGTCCGGGTTATATTGAAACATGTGCTTCTTACTATGGCTCATACTCACAAAAACATTCAAAAATTTGTCAGGCTAATACCAAGTCCTGAATTAAGTAAATTCTTCCAAGGGAAAGTCAAGTTGCAAAGGTTGAATCTTGGAAAGGATTAATAGGTAAGCGTGTACCTATTGGTATATAGTAGTACACGGATATATTTAATACACTGTCACTTATAAATAAGAGGTCTTGGCTGGGCATGGTGGCTCACACCTGTAATCCCAGCACTTTGGGAGGCCGAGGCGGGCGGATCACCTGAGATCAAGAGTTTGAGACCAGCCTGGCCAATGTGGTAAAACCCCACCTCTACTAAAAATACAAAAATTAGCCAGGTGTGGTGGTGGGCACCTATAATCCCAGCTACTTGGGAGGCTGAGGCAGGAGAATCACTTGAACCCAGGAGGCGGAGGTCGCTGTGAGCCAAGATCCCGCCATTGTACTCCAGGCTGGGCGACAAGAGTGAAACTCCATCTCAAAAATAAATTAAATAAATAAGAGGTCTTTAGGGAGAAAGGAGAATCTTCAGGATGTTTCTAGTTTGAGAAGGCAGTTTCCCAATTCCTACCAGGTCATAAAGTTCACCAGTTCAAAATACAGCACTAAATCTATAAAAATCAAGAAAAAATTGTGTAAAATCTATCCTTTAATGTTTTTGACAAAATTTGTATGACACAAAGATGCAGAAATATACATATTTATGAAGAAAGAGGGCCAGAAATAAAGTAAATGTTCAGCTACGTGACTTGTGTCCCCTCATCCTCATTCTTCCCCCTTCTAGTAAGAAGGAGAAATCTGGGGCCAGTGAAGTGCATATAGACTTTGGAAAAGGCAAATGGACTGCAGATGGGTAAATCTTTCGAACGAAATGTAGCTGGAAACCCTCATTCAAAAAGAATTTCTTCCCAGATATAAATATGCTCCCTATGGAAAGTTCCAGTGTAAGTCTCAAGGAAGGCATCTTACTCAATGTGGTCATAAAAACAATGCTTAGAAGTTTCCATGGGACGTGGGTCAGTTGTACACACCTAAAACCAATCATGTCAAGGGAACCTAAGAAAGTCAGAATTGGATAAGCAGCAATCAGCAGGCCAAAAAATCTGTTGAGCAACATACAGTCAGCCTTCCTATTATGTTACACAGCAAGGGGGATTAAAATGGCAGAGGCCATAAAGGTCATCAGTCACCTAAGCAGAAGGCAGGAAGATCATCCTGGATTATGCAGGAGTGACTAATACAATCACAAGGGACCTGAAAGGTAGAGGGCAGAGGCTTAGGAAGAGTGGCAGAGGGAATGGGATTATGGAAGAATGGTCAGAGATGCAAAGTAGCTGCCTTTGAAGATGGAGACGTGAAACAAGAGCTAGGGAGTATGGACAGTGCCTGGACACTGGTAAACCAAAGTGAAGCTTTCCCTCCAAGAACATCCAGGCAGGAACAAAGCCCTAGGGATGCTTTGATTTTTGCCCAGCGAAATGTATCAGTTTTCAGGCCTAAAGAACAGAGAGATAATAAATATTTTTGTTTAGTCCACTAAGTTTGTGGCCATTGGTTACCACAACAGGCAATACAGTGTCCTTGGCAGGACAGAAATGGCAGGGAAGAAATGTGGCTGGAAATGATAGAGAAAGAGGGAAAGGACATATGTAGTCAGAGAGGCAGAATGGGATGAAGAGCAGACCACATAGGTCTCTAAGATGCACTTAAAGAGGTTGTAACATTAATAAAAATAAGAAGTTATAAAAGCTTTTGAGGAAAGGAATGACAATCTGACTTCCATTTCCTAAGGATCGCTTTGGCTGCCATGAGAATAGATATTAGGGTGGGAAGGGTGGGAACAGGGCCACCAACTGGAAGGCAGTTGTAATAATCCTGAAGGAGATGTGGTCATTTACATTAGAGCAATGCAAATGGGCACGGACAGAAGCACAACAGGTAGGAGAGTCACGTACAAGGACACACAGATGCTTAGTTCTTACCTGAATTCCCTTCTCTTTGGGTTACTGTCTCCATCATCCAAAACTTTTCTTCCCTTAGGAAGTGGAAAGTATCTTGGTGGAATGGTTGATGCCCTGTGAATAGGTAAGGTCACGTGCTGAATCCCAACACATTCTGGGGTAATATTTAGGCAAAATTTACTGGAAATTTAGATTCCCAATGCACACTCAAACTTGAACACTCTAAGGTACAAAGCCACTCCTGAGGCCTGATGTTCTGTTACAAAAGATGCCCGTGCTCACCTGCTGAGAGCAGGTTCCTGAAGTTCTCCAGCATCACATCTCGGTACAGCTTCCTCTGGGCAGGGTCCAGTAGCCCCAGCTCCTCCTCAGTGAAGAACACAGCCACATCCTTGAAGGTCACTGCCTCCTACAACATCAAGAAGACATAACTTCAATCTTATGACCAAGGACTACTGCGGGAGAAGCGGCATTGAGCAAGGGAAGGGGATGAGTGGAAAGCTGTTCTCAATACTGACAGAAGTAGGTGAACTTAGAGATTTCCCACTCATTCTGCCTATATCCTGACAATGACATACACTGATTTACCTGAACTCCACCAGAAGTGCAATGATGAAGTCCTGTACATTTACTCGGTGCACTCATCGAGTCTACTTGTATGTAACCCTGTAGGACTCTACATGCTGCATTCTGGGCTTCCCATATATAGGTTCAACAAATCTTGCCAACTGCCCCAGCAACATTAAACAATTCAGTCCCAACCTTGTTGGGTAAGGCCTATTGTCCTCTCTCATATTCAAACCCTGGTTGCTATCGCTTTTCTTTAGTATTTGCTAAACTGACAAGTTTTAGGTAACTGTGGGTAATTTTCAGGGTGGCCTTGAATCATTCTTTCTTGCTTATAGTTCTGAAGAATAAACATAGAACATGCTAGTAATGTAATGTTCCTGTCCTTCCTATGGAAGATAACGTCTTGAGTTAGAGAGAAAGTGCCCAGTAAGTCGTGTTGCCCCTGAGGTATATAACCTGGGGTGGGCTGCCTTCTGGGGTACCTCTGCTCTGGTGGAAATGGGGTCAAGATTCTACCCACCCCAGGAAGTTTTCTTCAGCCTTGGATGGCCACCTCACAGTATTTCCTATACTTCTGTGCTCCCTTGCTGCCAATCTGTGGTAACAAACCTGCTTCACGTAATCTGTTGAATGAGATCGTGTTCTGTCTCACACGACTCACACAAGTTGATAATCAGTGCACAGTGAACCTACTCCACAGTACTTGTGTGGACAGCTGTGTGCGGCAGTTATGTAGTGTGTCCTCTACTCTCAAGGTACAAACCACAAATGTTAATTGCAGCCCTCAGTGTCCTGATCAGAAGCCAGAATGCATCATTGCACTTCCTAAGGGTCTGCCCCTTCCTAGCTGTGTGGCCTTAGACATGTTTGCCTACAAGAACTAGTTTCCTCTCTAAATAATAGTCCTTATTTGGCACAGTAATTTAAAGGATTAAACAAGGAAATACATAGCATTTGGAAACATCTGTGCCACTGACCAAGTGTTTAATGAACATTAGCTAGAATCATTTTTACTGTTGTTACTAGCATTATCTATTTCATGGCTGCATAGTATTCCAGAGAACTGATGACCTACTTTTAGCTACAGTAAAGAATATTTAATTTTACATATTTTCCATTATCAATCATGTGAAGAGATCATTAAGTAATGATGTAGTAAGATGTAAGAACATCTTACTCTCCTCTCTTATTAAAATAATAATTTCAAATGAAAATTAAAACATGAAAAAATAAGCACATTTAGAACAGTGATCATATAACTGCATGCTTTCTTCCTAGTTTTTTACCTACCTCCATAATCTTTGAACAGAATACAAGTACTTTGCTTCTCTTTATCATGGCCAAGAGCAGGTTATAAATATTCCCACAGTCTTGGTAATCTGATTGGGGGAACAATTCGTTCTATTATTCTCACTTATTTTATTATAAATGAAAACCATCACTTTTGAACGTTATTGGACATCGCTAGTTTTCCTTTTACACTGGCCTTTTAGTGTCCTTTGTTCCTATCTGTTTGGAGTTTTTCCTTTATTCTGTGCTCAAGGTTTTGATTTTGAATTTTATTTTCTTTAGGTATCCATGTGGCAAACATTTCTGCCCCAGGTCATTATTTCTTCTGGTAACATTGCGTGAGGCATCTTTTGCCATAAGGGATTTAAAGATTTTCTATAACAACTGTGGTAATCAGTGTACTTCAGTGCTTGGAGTAGATGCCATGTCAGAGTGACATGTGACAAGAAGTCACACCAAGTAGGGACAGGGAGGAACAGCACCACTAGGGACACCATCACTCAACAGGGCACTCCTGACACTCACACCACAGGGTGCAGGTTGCTCAATAGAGAATTCTGTCTCTCTCCTTGTCTCTCTTTTTCACTTGAGCCAAATGGCTAACACTCCTGACCTTTGGTTGCCTGTGTACCCCTGAGCAGGTTTCTCATATTTCACCTGTTTAAGAAGAAGAAGAGACCAGGAACCTCCTCATTCTGCTGCTCTGAGGAGTAAACGTAGTAACAGAACACAAGTGACTGGCAAATCTTAGTATCACTGGACATTTTAAATGAGGGTTTTCCACTACTTTGGTTAAACTGCTTACTACATAAGTGAATTAGAAGAGACCAGTAAATAAAGCACACGGAAAGTATGACTGAGACAAGGAGAACACAGAATCTAGCTCTTCCAGTGTGAAAACTCCAACAATATTTGTGTGGAGCAGCAGTTATATCCTGTTGTTCTGTGCCCAGTTAAAATATTCTATCTGCACAACAGCCAATGTGGTACATATCAAAAATACCCTTTCAAAATTGAGCTAAAATGGCATATGGTTGTCAAAATTAATTTTGTGGGAAAAGGTTATAGATAGGAAAGCTGTCACTGCACTGTTGCTTAAAATAATTCTATGAGCGTGAGGTAGTTATAAAGATACATCAATGTAATAGGAATATGATGTAACCATAAAAATCGAAGATTATATAACATATAAAAAGAGCACAGTTTACAGTTAGATGTATATCATCAATACAAATACAGTTATGAATGTATGTGACAAACAGCAAGAGAAGATAAAAATCGATAATTTGAGAGAGGGGAGGTAAGGAAGTGGGAGCACTGTTCATTTCTACTAATTTTCATACTCCATAAAATAAATAATGGTAAAAACCAAAACAAAACAAAACAAAAAACCAACTGCAGTCAACACAAAAGAGATAAGGAAGCACCTGGCACACAACAGGTCCCCAAATGCCTGTTTTCCCCTTGAGTCTTCTCATGACAGAGCAAAACACATGACAATATGAGTAGTGACATGGAATTTTAACAGCAAGAGAGGCATGCCCCGCTCACCTTGAATGTGGTCATTTTTCCTCCTACTTTGGGGAATTTGCAGACTCCTGAGTGATGCAGTTTGAAGGAAGGAGGAATCCTGCCTGAAACATGCCACGGTCTGCAGAAAAAGAGACTTGAAAGGGTTGCCACGGATGACACCCAACAATACAGATGTGTGTTGTGAATTAGCACATGAACGATCATAGCAGCATTATTCACACAACCAAGATGCCTTCCTCTGGGTAAATGGATAGGCAAATGGTGGCATATCCATACAATGGAATCTTATTTGGAAATTTAAAGGAATGAAGTGCTGACTCAAGCTACAACATGCACAAAGCTTGGAAACATCATGCCAAATGAAAATCACAAAACCCATGGATTATATGATCCCATTTATATGAAATATTTAGAACAGATAACAGTTATATAGAGAGAAAATAAGTTAGTGGTTGCTCCAGATTTGAGGTGAGAATGAGTTTTTATTTTTTAAGAGATGGGGTCTTGCTATGTTGCCTGAGCTGGTCTCAAACTCCTGAGCTCAAGCTATACCTCCCACCTCGGCCTCCCAAAGTGCTGAGATTACAGGCATGAGCCACCATGTCCGGCCTGAAAATGAGTTTTAACTCTAAGTGGGCACAAAGAGCCCAGTTGGGAGATGAAAATGGTCTAAACTGAATCGTGATGATGGCAAAACAGGAAAAAATGTAAACAATTGGCAAATTTGGGTAAAGAGTATATGAGAATTCCTTAAACTATTTTTGCAACTTTTCTATAGCTTTGAAATGATACAAAAATGAAAGGTTTTAAACTATCAGGAAATAGTCATAAGAACGGTAACAATGGGAATAATAAGGATAAGCATGACATAATATGGTAGTTTGCTAGTTCATTCTCCATTAGCAGTGTTTAAAAATTTCCATGGTTAAAGAAACATGGGAAAACACAATAAGATATTATAACAATTTTTCAAATGCTTATAAATAAATATACAAATAGACATAAAGACAGACTAAAAGGAAATGGGGGAGAACTGAAAGTTCTATAACTTGTATCAGACAGTTACCACCTTTACATATTGGATTCATGGATAATTTAAAACATGTTTTCTCCACATATTTATCTAACTTTAAACTGTTCCACAATGATATGGTTCCACAATACAAAATCCTTATAAAAAGTGAAACAAAATGTTGACCAAATTTTAAAAGGCTCCTACAGAAGTCCACGTACATGAGCCTTGCTCTCAAGGTCCCTTCAGTCAAGTCCTAGCTTTTTTCCCCAATCTGATTCCACCTAGTTCCTCTACCTCAATGAAAATGTATCCAAGGGATGATCAACTCAGGCTCTCTGACCCAAACTGCCTAGGTTCCAACTCCAGCTGCACCTCTTACTACTTGGGTAACTATGCACCCAGTGTCTCACTCCCATATTTAAAATGGAAAAGAATGACCCGGCTTGGTGGCTCACGTCTGTAATCTCAGCATTATGGGAGGCCAAGGCAGGCGGATCACGAGGTCAGGAGTTCGAGACCAGCCTGACCAACATGGTGAAACCCCGTCTCTACTAACAATACAACAATTAGCCGGGCATGGCGGTGCACACCTGTAATCCCAGCGACTCAGGAGGCTGAGGCAGGAGAATCGCTTGAACCTGGGAGGCGGCGATTGCATTGAACCCAGATCCCGCCACTGCATTCTAGCCTGGGCGATGGAGTGAGACTCCGTCTCCAAAAAAAAA